AAAACAAAAAAAAAACAAAAAAAAAAACAAAAACAAAAAAAAAACCATAAAAGAAAAAATTAGAAGGGAAAAGGAGGAGGGGAATGAAACGTGGTATACGAGAAAAAATGAAAGAGACCGATGTTATGCGTTTGTTGAGAGATTTACTCTATTATTGGAACATATCATCCATACAATTAGCATGGTCCATGCCGATCTTGCTTGTTTTTATGTAAAAAAAGGTGGAAATAAAAGTACTATACAACAGACAGATGGCTCTCTTCCCACTTGTCTCTTTTATCTCTTTCGATCTCCTTCCTTCCTTCCTTCCCTTTACACTCTCCCGTCTACACTTACTTAAACGCCGCGCTCGCACGAGTCGATTGCCTCGTTCACCGGCCTGAGTTTTTCAAACAAACGACTTTATAATCTTCACATTAATAATTTATTATGCGCATTTTGTTATCGAACGTCGAGTCTGGCAATTGAGACATTCGGCTCGAGGGGCCTGTATACAAACGCCGCCAGTTCATTCAAGGCCTGAGCTTATCAACTACTTTCGCTCCTTTCTCCGCTTCCTACCTCTCGGCTTACTCATTGTTTTTTTTCATTTTTTTGTACATATTGCACGTTTCAACGGGAGACAACTAATCAATCGGTAATATACAATAATACAATCATGTTATAATTGGTAATAATAGTAATAATAGTCAATAATAATAATTAATAATAATAATTAATCAATCAATCAATCAATCAATCAATTAATAATTAATAATTAATAATTAATAATAATAATAATTAATAATTAATAATAATAATTAATAATAATAATTAATAATTAATAATAATTAATAAGCAATAACAATTATTAATTTATAGTAACTAATCGCGTCGATTAAGAGAAGGAAGAAGAAACAGAAGGGCAGAATCGAACAAACTCATCGAATATACACACAATCTCGCGAGTGCTTATTTATACTGGCGACGATTTCCAATATCCTTCTTCTTCTTCATTTTCTTCATTTTCGACTTCTACGCGACTTCTTTCTCTTTGCTTTCAACATATTTTTATTTACAGACACGTGCAAAAAAGAGGGAAAGGAGAATTTTCTTTCTCAAACAAAGGAAAACAGAGGCTCTTCTTTCTTTATATAAATATACATGCGCGCACGCACGCACACAGCCACACATACAAGAACACGCAAGCACACGCACGCACACCCATACGTAGATACGTACGTACGTGCCTATATATATATATATATATATATATATATTCACGTTTTTTTTTGTTCATTTTGCCACTCGGTGGTCACTGAGAATATTTCGCGTGCTTTAGGCTTTTTATCGAAGGTACTCTAGTGACAAAAGTAAGGAAAAATTATTATCTCTCTCTCTCTCTCTCTCTCTCTCTCTCTCTCTCTCTCTCTCGTATTTATCGTCATACATATATATACATATAAAGAAAGACTGGTTCTTGTTTTTAATTGTACGCTGTGTGTGTTTGTCTATATATATATATATATATATATATATATATGTATATGTATATCTATATGTATATGTATATGTATATGTATATGCGTGTATGCGTGTATGCGTGTGCCTGAGTAACTGACTATGCTGTGCTTCTGTAGGCATGTGTAGTTGCGTGTGCAGTAGGTATGCATCCGCGTGTATAAATCATGTGCATATGTATATATACATACGTGCGCGCATGCATTATACATATAGATATACACACGCATGCAGATTTATTTACTATTTACTATTTATTTACTCAACTCCTCTCCCCCTCCACTATCTTTTTCCATTCATTCGCTCACTCTTTCTTTTTCCAAACTATCGCTATTTACATGGTTTTGTCGTCTTTCTCTTACATTCAAATTACTTTGACGCTTTCGCTATTTTATTTCGATTTGTTATTTGTATATTCTTCGACTCGGTTTTTACTTTATTACTTTTCATTTATTATTATTATGTACATACAACCTGGGCACAGTCAAAATCGACAACGTCCACAAAGATTTCATTACGTAGCGCCTCGATATCCAATATTATCTTTTTTTTATTTTTCTAAAATAAATATCTATCAACTTTAAAAATTTACAATTTCTTTTATATTAATTGCAGTAATTTTTTTCTCGGCTATCAAAATAATAATACTTTTCATTTCAAGATTCTACCGTTCAACAATTGAAACACTTTTGGACCTCATCGAGTTTGTTTATAAGTGCTTGTGTAGACTGGCAAACGTTAAACGTATATTTTCATTTCTTTTCAATCGTTTTCCTGCATCTATTTCGCATATTATAATTCTTTATTTTTTTATTTATTTATCGGAAATTTATGTTATTTCTGGGAGCAGCAACACTCGCCTGGCCGCACTCGGCCAAGAAGTCGCTCACACGAATTTCAGGAATGCGTTTATTATTTATTATTATATTCTGTTTAGTTTTGCAATAAACGACGAGACAAGAAAGCTTCCCGCGGCAGCTGGGCAAGTCGAGGACATGCGCACCTCGAAGTGTACAACATACAACAGTGGGGGAGGGAAAAAACAGTACGCGTCACATCGCTCGGTCGTCAGTCTATTTTTGCGCAATTAGAACTCCGCTCGTTTACTTCGCTTTCTCATTTGTTTTTCATTCGCCGCACATCGTCGTATAACGCCTCGCCTAATTGTCTTCCACCCACGTAATTTAAAAATTACGTATAATATTGTACTTTTTCTTTTTATAAAGAGTGAGGCATAAAAAATAAAAAAATAAAAAGTTTTTTTTTTCTTTTTTTGTTCAATACTTTGCAATGCTCTTGATTGAGAAGAAAACGTAAGACGTTTTCTTTTCTATTTCTTTCCTTTCTAATTAAAAAATACGTGCTGAACATACACGAATAAGACAATTAGAGAAGCCACTAAGTGTAATATATAGCTTGCTATTTGTAAAACAATGGCGTTCTTTGTCGTGACATGCACTTGTACAATCGTTATATATTTCTCTTTGAAATTGCTCATTAACTTTCACAAAACTCGCTAAAAGTGCCTTAGCACTCTCTTACACCATATTATTTCATGCTTTCTTTCATACTACACACAGGCACGCACGCACACACAAAATATATGAAGTCAGCGCCTACCTATATCAACTCACGCGCAAGGACCCTCCTTAAACACTATATTTACTATGCATTATTCGTTTTAATAATTGTTAGAATATAATATTATTGATGTATTGTTTGCTTTTCATTCATTGATCACAAGCTCACCGCCGCTCATCCTTACATTTTCTCTCGCTTTATTCATTCGAAAACTCGATAATCGATCATACGTGTGGCGCAACGTCTACCCTTCAAATACAAATATGCCAGATGAAGTAGTGTAATTTATCCATATTTATGTATACATTACATATTTTTCTCTTATCATTAGATTGATTGTATACAGCGACATGAGCACGTTGCGCAACTTAATTTTTCGTCAGCCTCACTTTTGCTCGTCACTTCTTCCTCATCCTTTTCATCCAGACTCCTTGTGTCCCCCACCCCCCTTACATTCGACATTCGCTCTTTCATTCATTCAATGTCAAACAAAATTATCTAAATCATCTTCTGTAGATTAATTAAAAATGTATAGGCATGTGTGTCTGTATATTTTAGGTATAAACTATGCTTTTAAAAGGATAGGCTTACGTGCCACCAAACTATACATATATATATATACATTTCCTTCTATTTGAAATCATTAATGTCGATCATTTTGTCTCAATGTTTTCACTATTCACGTTAGACGTTTTTCTTGAAAATATGCCATTTGCAATAATAATAATAATAATAATAATAATAATGATAATAATTAATAATGATAATTAATAATAATAATAATAATAATAATAATAGTAATATTAATAATACG